TATTGGAGCTCTAGTCAATTATATGGTTCACAGATCATTCGAAATACTATGTCAAGAGAGAGATTTGAATTACTCCTCAAATTTTGGCATTTTTCGAATAACAACAACAAGAATTCGAACCAAGATAGACTGTTCAAATTGAAGCCACTCTTAGATTTACTAAAAGAGAGATTTTCATCAGTATATATGCCTGATTCAATTATCAGTATTGACGAAAGTATGATACCATGACGAGGCAGACTTCTATTCAAACAATACATACCTGGAAAAGCGCACAAGTACGGCATAAAGATGTACAAATTAGCGGCAACCAATGGATATGTTTGGAATTATGTAATTTATACTGGTGAGCAAGATTTGACGGCAGGTATTGGGCATGCTCAAACAATAGTAATGAAGCTATTAGATGGTCTTGTTGGATGTTATCGAACCGTAGTAGCTGACAATTTCTTTACCAGTATTTCTCTTGCGAAATATTTGTTGGAACATGATACGTATCTCATTAGAACATTACGAAGTAATCGTGTTGGATCAGGAAGTAAAGTTCTTGAAGAAAATCTTAGTCGTGGAGAAGTTTATGGACTTCAGAATAAAGATGGAATTAAATTAATCAGGTGGAAAGACAAAAACGATGTCTTGATGATATCTACAAGACCGTCACATTCAGCAAGTGTAGTAGACAGTGAAAAAACAAATTTTCAAAATGAGCGGATCATGAAGCCCCAAGTTGTATTAGATTACAATGAAGGCAGACAAGGTACTGATTTATCTGATCAACTATCAACATATTACACATGTCTCAGAAAATCAATAAAATGGTACCGCAAAGTGGCATTTGTATTGGTTTTCGGGACGGCACTAGTAAACAGCTATTTGATATATAAGGAAAACTACACCGAAAGCAAAGTGATCAATCTGCAGTTTCGTGAAAGTCTTGTTCGGTCTTTACTGCTTGGCACTCCAACCGAGAAGCTAAAACCTGGTCCAAGACAACAATCAGCAAGTCATTCGAAGTGCAAACTCGCTGATCACAAGCTCGAAGAAAAAGAAGGATCTACGCGCAATATCGGCAGACGGTGCACTGGCTGCTATGCGAAGGGACGAGCCCAACAGTCAAGAGAAGCCAGCCGTGCGGCAGCAATGAAAGTAAACACTTTCTGTTCTGACTGTAATAAATTTTTTTGTCTTGAGTGTTTTAATGATAAGCATGATGCTATGGAGTAAAGAACTCAAATAAAGTACTAAAGGCAGCACAGTTGACTCCTTATATTTAGCCTCCTACTTAAGAAAAAAGCAAAAGAAAATGCTTTTCTATACAGTTTCTCGTTAAACTATAGCGTAGTCCACCGGTGGGCTACATCGGGTCGAATGTGTTAAGATTGGGCCTAATTGCCGGAAGAAAGCACGCTTAAGGTGAGGTATGGATTCACAATGGTGGTTGTGTGGCTACTCTGAAAGTGTATCCTTGTGTGGCACGTAAGTTCTTCTATCGCGACTCACACCTAATTTTCAATCAAACGACATGCATCAGAATAGGGAATTCGTGACCCAAAAAACTGCAACCCACTTTTATTGTCATCAATATTAGACTTTGTCCTCGATTATCACTCACATATTTAAGTCATATTTCACAGTCGGTCACTGTTTCATACCCGAGGTGTCCTAAGGAGTTTGAAAAACGAATAGCTCATTGAAGGTTGAATTTATACTCAAAAACACTATTGTGGATTTTCATACTTCCATTTGAGGACAAAAGCAGAGATATCTACACTTCGAAATACTTGTCTCAGCGACTTTCCTTTTCTTAATGCTAGCAGGGAAACAAGCCTGAAAAATTTAGAGCTAAAACACTATGTTAGAAATAATTTGCAACGTACATAAATTTCCTTAGCTTTTTGTACTGTTTTCAAACATGACATTTTTTTAAGTCAAAACTCCTGTTTTCCATTATAAACCCATCCATTACTGTCAAAAAGAATTCTGGGTTATGCCAGAGGCCGCAACAGCACATATTCCAAAATCAGACACCTAGGCAGGAAAATTTCTAAAATCAGGAACATTACAGTTCATATGGATATTGCGTTTTAGGATCAAATCTCCATAAAAGTGGATGAAGCAATAATGATTGGTTGAAATCAAAATTTACCTTGCTTCAATAAATGTCAAAGCTATCTATGCTATAGCTTCGAACAGCTTTCTGTCCCATCGTTTATTGCAATACTATCATACTCTATATCAAATTTATTACCCAATAGAGATATGATACGAGAGTTTTATTTCAGCATGGTGTACAGATCGCTCTGAAATAAAAGTCTAGTGTCATATCTTTATTTGATAATAAATTTCATGTAAAGTATGCCAGCATAGAAAAAGAGAAGAGAGGGTGTCTGCAAATAGATTAGAAATAGATCGACTTATATTATTCCGAAAAATACAAATCAATCTGCTAGGGTGTGGGTGTGAACGTGCGTGTGTGTCGTGAGTGTGGTGTCTGGGTGTGGGTAGGGTCTGAGCCTTCATTGCATCTACACCCACACCAATACCTACCACATCCACACCCACACCCACATACATACACCCCACACCCACACCCACACCCACATACATACACCCCACACCCACACCCACACCCTATTCATTCATGGATAAATGGTCATCAACACTCTATCAGTGTTCTATCGTAAATAAACTTTACGATATGGGTGAGAGACTTTTGTTTATTCATATCGATATCAACACCTCATACTAACACCCTTTTTTTCTACAGATCTTCCAAAAGATAGTGTGCTTAAAAAGAAATGATTGTCTTCCAAACTTTCTTACATTTGCCATTTTATCATCATAGAACAGAAAAAAAATACAAGAAAACTAAAACGAATACTCTAACAAAAGTGCTTAATACTGGTATGGAAACACATTTTCATAAAAATCTAACAGTACAAAGTTTGAATTCCCAGAACAGTAATTAACAAATATTCTTTGTTAAGGAAGAAACCATTTTCTGCAATACAAAAATAAAATATTTTTCTGTTGACTTGAAATACTTGCGAGTCTTAAACGATTCGAGAATTTCATATGTTTATTTTCCCAATATGCTGACGACTACTGAACTATAGCAACCTATGGGTGTTGGTGTGGGTGTGGATGTCGGATGATGAATGTGGGTCTGCAGATGGGTGTAGTGTTCGTCGCATCACACCCACGAAACAATCACATCCAAACTCACGCACCCAGACTCACACCGACCCATTCACGCACACTCACACCCACACCCCACACCCCTCACACCCCCACACCCTAACCACACCCACACTCACATTCACACCCATACCCACACTCTAGCCACACCTACATCTCAGATGAATCTTCCAACTTTGTAAGCTCAGCCTTCAAATTGCTTCATGACTTGGGAGGAAACCTAGTCTGAAAATCATGATTTTCATCAAAAACCCATTTTTTTGAGAGAGTGGTACTGATAGAAGAAAAAGATATGTAAAGCTGAAGTTTTCAGGAGACATACATCGCTATATATAGTGTAGCCATAATAAAAATTTTAGACCGCTATCTAATTCCTATCATGAGTTATGAAGCACGAAAGTTGGCTGAAATGTGAATTTTTTCTCATATGGGATGAGTCATACAAAAATAAGGATTTGAGATTTTGAACTGAAATTTCTATGGTGGCTTTAGCGCATACAGTTATATATTAATAGAAAATTTCAGCTCAATCGGTCATGCCGTTCTTATGATATGGTCCTGTCGAGAACTCTTGGCCGAAGTGCTGATTTTTAGTGCTTTTCGTAAAACAGGCATAAAAAACCAACAGTTCAATATTTTTGAAAACAGCTTGCGTCGAAGTTCATAAGATCCTTCCCTCTACAACAATATTCTAAATTGAGCGAAATCGGAAGATATCGATTGAGCTATGATGTCGGTCATAGCTTACTTGGAATGGCTTTCACACCATGTCAAGAATTTCTGATGTGTATGTACTATTTAAAAATGTACCTAATCACGCCATTATTTTTTTTCAATATCTAGGCACTTGATTCATACTATCTTGTTCGCCTTTTAGCATATATATGATCTTATGAAAAATGTTTTTACGAATGAATCAAGTTATCTTCAAACAATGATATAAAAAAAGCGAATTGGTCGTGTGCCGATAGATGTTCTTCATCGTAGCGTCGAAATTTGATCGTACAGAATTTAGTCTATTTTGAAAATAAAAAGTGCATAGATTAAGCTGTTCTTTGTGAATGGTACATTGAAGTTTTCTAATAAAACGTATTAAGTGATGGAAAAATAAAATACAAAACGTGGCTATGCATCAATGCTCCAACTGTTACTATCGACAGTGAAGATTTGCTACGTTGTGAACTTTGATGCCTCAATTTCCATACATACATCATAAAATATATATTCGTCTATAGATAAATTATTATTCGTCGGATCCTTTTTTTGTCAAGGTTAGATTAACTTGAATATATATCCGAAATCTTATTTGAAAGTATTAAATAACACTTTTTAATTTTTTACTGTAAAGTAATAAATGAAGAAAATAATAAATCAGAACAATTGACATTTGTATAACAACTCAAAAGTAATAATAACACTAAACGCATGGTCTTTTATCGATATAAACAACTATAAAAACTTCACAATGCTTTTTAAGTGGACCTTATATATTTCACCAACTAATCATCATGTTCTGTATTGAAACATAAAATTTCAATTGTGAAATGATCTTGATTATATGTATATATATAATAGTAGGTTTATTGGTTTGAATAAATGGCTTTGTCTTACAAGAGAAAAAAAATAAGCAGTCTATAAAAGAGTTGTTCTAACTGATAAATAAATATACTCCCTACCGCCAGGCGTTTTCAATTTTATGACTCCCTCTATATTTTACTGATATTCAGTTTAAGAGATATTGTTCGAACTGCTAGAGTTTATCTCATTCATTTATTATTGGAGTATAATACGTAATAATAGTTATGGAAGGTTCAATAAATATGCGTTCATTCATTGTATTAGTGATAGTATGTGTATTCGGGATAACCACATTTGCTCTTACCGCTGCCATTCTTGGAACATTGAATAAACGATTAGATGCAATTGAAAGTAAATTATCGGGTACAGATTCATTACAATCAACTACAAGCACGACAACTCGATCGCCACAAAATCTAACTCTCGCTCAGGCAATTAACATCGAAGAAATTATGCAATACCTTAAAAATTTGCAACATATCGCTGATAATTCGAATAGAACTTGAGCCATTAATACACCTGGCTTCAATCAAACACTTAACTTTATTAGCAGCACTCTTGCCAATAATACCGATTTCACTATAATTAAAACTTTTTTCTCTGTTAGAGATTTCAGTCTCGCGAGTAATCCGATCTTGATTTCATCGATTGATGATGTCGTAAAAAATTATACATACTCTACAGATCCTAGTGCTGCAGATTTTCTGCACGTTAAATATTCGACATCGTCTAATATTTCGAACACTTTTGGGGCTCACTATTATTCCAGATGGTGGTTGTACAGAATCTGACTGGAAAAAAGCTATTGGACCTACTGCTGGTCGAGTAGCATTAGTCAAGAGAGGAGGTAGCTGTGCATTTGCTGACAGAGCAGCCCAAGCTCCTAAGTTCAATGTGACTGGTCTTCTTTTTTACAATGATGGCATATTACCTGATCGTATGACACCTATTGAAGTTAGTCTCGGTCAAGACAATGCTTTACCTGCTCTATTTCTTTCATACACTGCTGGAGAAGCATTAGCTGCTTCAGCTCAAAATATATCGATCAACGTAACTGTTCAATTAGGTATTGACTTAAAAAATTTACCAGACTTTTCTGTAGGCAATATTTGTGCTGATACACCGATAGGGAATGTTACTCAGACTATTGTTCTTGGTAGTCATAGTGATAGTGTACCAGCTGGCCCAGGAATCAATGATAACGGTAAAATATGAAGTTCGACAAATTCTCTCGGCACCCATCCGTTATTCATTTTAGGTAGTGGTAGTGCAGCTAATATTGATCTAGCTATTACTCTTGCTCGTCTTTTCAAAACACCTACTTATTCAAAATATAAGTATCGTGTTCGATTTTGTTGGTGGGGTGCCGAAGAAATCTGTCTTCTTGGATCTAAAGATCACGTTAAGAAAGCGAAAAATTCTGGTAGTATTGGTGAACGTTTGGGCGATTATTTAATCAATCTGAATTATGATATGCTTGGTTCACCGAATTATATCTTTGGTATATATGATGGTCGAACAGCAAAAAATGATACTCCACCGACAGCACTTGTAGGTAGTAACAAGATCACTGATTTATTTCATAATTGGTTTATTCAACAGAAACTACTTGCGACTCTTACGGATTTTGATGGTCGAAGTGATTATGGCCCATTTTTAGCTGAAGGAATTGTTGCTGGTGGATTATTTTCTGGTGCAGATGAGATAAAATCTGAAGAAGAACGTGATCATTACGATCAAATTCTTGGTCAAGGAATGGATGGTATCGCTGGTGCAGCTCATGACCCATGTTATCATAAAGCATGTGATTCGATTCAAAATATTAATGTATTTGCATATGAAAAAATGGTACAAGCAGCTGCATATGTTTTGGAATATTTAGGTCGTCAAGATGATTTGAAAGTATGGCTTTATCGGGTGTGGGTGTGGGTGGGTGTGGGTATTGGATCACACCCAGACCGACACCACCCCACACCCACACCCACACCCTCAAATGGCTTAATCATGTTTTCAAGTGGACAGAAAACGTCAGATTCACAATACACATGTGTATGCAGTGTACCTAGATCACATCCAGATCTATACATTTCTATTATTATAACATGTAGTGAAATTTCCTTCTAACAAAAAGTCCTGAGGCCATCAAAGAACTGTCTTTTCGCAAGAATTCCAGATTTGATTTTAAATTGGTAAAATCTCGAATGTAAACGAAATAGTATACGAATGAAATTCAACTGATTCTGCTATAAGAAAAATATGTCCTTTTTTCTTCTCAATGTCACCCTTCAATTTCTTTCAAAAATGCACACAGCATTGAATGACTATGATCGAGTTGGACGATACATCAATGTTTTACGTTTGTAAATAGGTTAATCTATTCAATTTGACAACGGCGCAAAAGGCACCAAGCAGACTTAAAAAAATAAAACGAATTAAGACTAAATTGACGAATAAATTGTCTAAAAAAATGAGTTAACTTGGAATAGACCAATCACGTTGGTTACTCTGTTTTATTTTTTTCACTCTGTTTGATATCAAAGTGATGAGAGGCAAATAATGAACATATATATGCATATATAGCTTTATCTCAATCAAAAGCATCCTAGTCATAATAAAATATGAACCGATCAAATGTTCATCTTCTCGATTTACCTGATGAGATATTACTTATGATTTTGAAGAAGTTGAACAATGTTGATGTACTTTATTCTTTATTGGATGTTAATAGTGGACGACTTAACATTCTTGCACAAGAAAACACTTTCACCAATATTCTGAAGCTTATCTCCATTTATGATTATTCTTTAATCGATCGATTGTGCATCGATATATTACCAAGAATTCATCATAATGTGACATGTTTTATTTTTGATTCATTTTGTATGAAATGTTTTCTTCTTGCCACTGACTATCCGAATCTAACTGAACTGAAAATTCTTCATTTCAAACAAAAATTCGCTTTAGATTATCTTACAAGTAAGCATTTAGTATGAATTTGATTAGTTGACAAATAATAAAAGTGCTAAATAGAATAGAGTAGAATATGTTTCATTTCATTGTTTTCTCCTTTAGATGAACCATCACTTCGATCTATTTTCCAAGAACAAATTACAAACCTTACTCTAATCAATGATGATGAAGACGAAATGATAGATTCATTGGAAAATTATACTACAAACGTATATAGTCACATCTTGACCTTCTTCAAAAATTTAAAAGAATTAAGTATCATGGGACCATATGCTATATCAATGTATCCAGGTTTATCACTTTGTTATTTGCCATCGACTACTTTTTCATCTTCGATTCTTACTCATTTATATATCAATGTGAAAACGTTAGATGTTTGTCTTTATTTACTTGATGGTCGACTTAGAAAATTGACAACATTGTGTGTTAATGTCTATTGTATAGACGAATATTCAAGAATTGTTCACAATATGGTAAGTTTTTACAAATAATTTTATTTATGACATGAAGATTATTACTATTTTAATGCAGTTAACAACTGATCTCAAAAAATTCAAATAAGAGATTGAATGGTTAAGTTTCATGTTGACAAGGGGGAAAAACTGATCATTTTTGATGAACATAACCGAAGAACATATCAAAATCATTGACATTAAATTTGTATTTACTAGAAATTTGAATTTAATAAAAGAATCAATAAAATTTGTTGCTAGAAATTATAATTATATAATATTTTATCGGATAAGTTTTACATTGAAAACTAGACTGATCTGTTTCATGATTGATTAAGTATTATCATATGTGAATGATCATAAGCATAGAATGAAACGAAATTTTTTCTATAATAACAATTTTTCCAATAATTGAGATATGATTGGAAGTTTGTCTGAAACTTTAATTGTTTTTTGAACACTCGTTTATTATGCTGTAAAATGAGAAAATCAAACTAATAGATTTGTCATTTGTGGTCATTCACAGATAGAATATAGATCATACACCATGTCTAAAATAATGATGCCTATCACTTTATCTTGTAGATCGTCAAAAAAACATTTCTTTCTTTTTGTAGGATAAATTATTTAATCTAAAATGTTTCTCATTAAAATCGTTCTGTCGAATTAAACAATATAATAAAATTGTATCACTTCTTCGTTGTATGTCAAGTCTGGAAAAATTAACTTTATATCTTCCTATAAAAGGTCGAAATAGAGTTATTGATGGTACTTATGTTCAGCATGATATTTTGGATTATATGCCACAACTTCATTCATTCACTTTCTATATTTGTACTTATGTGAAAACGGTTGATTTATCCTACAAGTTATCTAGTGAAGATATTCAACAAACATTAACAAATATTGGACAAGAATATGTCACGAGTATAGTCAATTATATTCAAGGTGAGATAGCTGCATACTCGATTTTCTCACTTCCTTTTGAATTTGATTATCTCAAACATTTTGGCAATAAATTTCCAAATATTGTATTCAGTTATGTTACGTTTTTACTTGTAGAAGATACTAATCCATTCAAACACGAATTTTTCATTCGAATTGCCCGATCGTTTTCATTACTGAAGTATTTACGTATTTATAATAGAGAATCACAAGTATTAGATGGTCTTATGACATTTTCATCTGACAATTGTCAATTACACTCAATTATTGAATACCTTCATCTGACTAGACTCGATGTGAGATATGCACATAGAGATTATGTTGAACAATTTCTAAATGAAACAAAGGCATTTATACCTTGTCTGACGGAATTTGAAGTCAATGTTGATGATTTAAAAGCTGTAACAAAACGTTTTACAAGAGAAGAAACACGACGCAATTGTGCTAAGGTGGAACGAATAGAGACGCTAGGATTATTGTTTTATTCGGAAGATGTTTTTCTTTATTTTCCTTCGTTGTATAAGTAGATGTATTCTCGCTTTGATCTATTCAATAAACTGAAAAACATGATAAATATTGTATTTATAGGTTAATGATATTTCTAAAATATAATGAAATATCAACTATGAATGATCGTTTTCTTATTTTATAAAAAAAACACACAACATTTTGTGATGCTGCAGAGTTATAGGTAAAACGAAAATGCTCCTTTTGCAATTGTTTGAAGACATACAAAAAGATTTGATTTCATTTGAAATGTAAAAATAGTCCTTACTTTTTCAATCTAACTCAAATTGAAGAATAAATGAACATTAATTTCTGATTGCATTCGATCTAAAGTTCAAAACAATTTCAATAATTTATATTGAATTAAATCTGTGATAATTTGTGAGTAGACTTCTGATGTCTAATTCATATATTTTATTTTGTTCTAAATGTAATATTGTGTGGGTGTGGGTGTGAGTGTGGGTGTGGGTGTTGGTGTGGGTGTGGGTGTGGAGTGTGGGTGTGGGTGTGAGTGTGGGTGTGGGTGTTGGTGTGGGTGTGGGTGTGGAGTGTGGGTGTTGGTATTCATTTCACCCACACCCACGCCCACACCCCCACCCCCACCCCACATACCCACACCCCCATCCCCACATCTACCCACACCTACACCCACACCCTCACACCCACCCACACCCACACTCGCCCATACCCACACCCACAAGATATTTCAGCTCATAACAATGCGAAGAGCCTACAAAAAACACAGCTATCCAGATTGTTTCCATTTTTCTGACTTGGAAAGGTGGTAACCTTTCTTGACATCATCTCAGTACTTCAACACCTTTTGGTACCGAAATTCAGTGATGATACTCATACAGTTTCGGAAAAAAGATAGAAATTAAGACTATAGCAAGAGATGCAAGTCATACTATCCTAAATCGACATTTTTGCTCATGAAAATACCGTTTGTTTTTTTGTTTTACAAAACGTGATCGAATCTATAGGTCGCGTGTCCAAATATTTGAGTTGCATCTGTTCCTGTGGTGAAGGATGTCTCTACAATATGATCAAGTTTCATAAAATTCAGCTATTGTCGAGAAATAATCCTCTTTTCTTATCAAAAATAGATGAAATACAAAAAGAATGAGGGCTGATAAGGTGGTTTTGCAGTGCCCTTACAATTGATTTATTTCTACCAGGTTCGAATGAGAAATGATCCCTTGTCACAGTTTTAGAGCTTTTCTCATGTCTTTTTTGACAAATTAAAACCAGATATGCTTGTAGATCCAGCAGTTCTGACTGCATATACCACAATGAGAGCTCACAAAACTTCTTTGTATTGTTAAATAGTTCTTACCAGTCGATTGGTTCCATTATTCCTTGTTGAATCTCCCCCCTCCTCCGTAAAATAAATATCCATTGAAATCTGATAGGAAATATTTGAATCTAGGTCACTTGCCCGCAGAGCATTTGCCCGTAGAGCACTTGCCCGCGGAGGACACGTGCCCGCAAAATAATTTTCCACGAACGATTATTCACCGTTATTCTTCGAAACAAACAGTTCCTAATTTCATTTCTTTCAACATTTCATTTATTTGAACATCTCAATACTATATATACAAATAAGCTAGCAGTTGTAAGACCAAAAAGTTAGGCCGACTTGAGCGAAATGTTATTAGCTAGTGCTAATACTTTATCCAAATTTGTTGTCTACTGTTCATTCAAAATATTCAAAATTCTTTTTTTGTTGACGTTCTGGGACCAAACGTTTCGGTCGTCTGACCCCGCACACTAAGATAAAATGTGTCGCACTTTGCGACACAATGTACGACACATTAATATGCGACACGAGGAGCTCGTTGCGACATATTTCTTCCAGCGGACGTGCGACACATGCGACACATTTTTAACACGTGGTTCGAATCCATTTTTCGGCACGAGGATTGTTTTTTTTTTGAAAATTTGAATAGTTACTATTTTTTCAGTTAATTTCAAACAGTAGCACCTATTCTTGGAGTTCGAGACGGTAGATCTTAAGATCTAGCTGCCTCGAGACCATTTGATCTCGATCAGACTACTTCGAGGCAGCCCATTCTCGATCATCTAGCGACCTCTCGACATGTTCTCGAATAATAAATGGTCGAGAAATAATCTAGAAAAAAAGACATACGAACGAAAATGTATAAGTCAAGTACGTTCAATAGGCTCGGTTATATGCAGCTGCACTCGCGAAACAAATCGGTGAATGAACGATTGACATATAGGCTATGACACATCTATAATGCGACACATTTTTGTACGACACATTTTTGTAATGGAGTCTGCGACACATTCTTGTACGACACATATATACGACACATTTTATTTTAGTGTGCGGCTTCAGCTTGAATTAGTTCAGCTTTGACCATTGAATGTTCTTTTTCCAACGATTTCAAAAATTTCCAAATGTTCGGATGTGCACAATCAACTAGCGATGCAAATCGATTGTTCCATCCTTCGAGTACTTTTTTTGTTCGATGACCACCTTGTAAAGTACTTTGATGAACATTCCAAAGTTTCACATCAAATTGAGGCCTTTTCCGCGGTCGATTTGCTCGATTGCATTCACCGATGTAGGTTTCTTCGAAATATTGCAAGACAGGCTTCCCTTGGATCGAAAATTACTGTTTCAATTCTTCTAATGTATCGATAACGTCGTCCGTATTCAACAAAGCCAGAGCAGGAAGAGCTCGAATTTGTTGAGCTAGTAGTGGATCATCGGAATAAACTGCTTTCAGTTCGAAACGTTCAACGGCTCGATAGACAGACTGACACAGGTGAAAAAAACATCCACTAATATTGGCATGTGGAAATTTCGTTCTAATGCTATGAATAGCCGCTTGTTCAAAGTCCAATTTCACATAAACTGGATCGAAATTCAGTTTCATATCAATAATCGATTTGAACATTTCATTATATAATTTCTTTGATTTGCTTAAAAAAAAGCCACCATTGGTAAAATTCTAAAAGTCTTATTTACCTGGTAACATAGCATAAATCATTGGAAAAACATGACCCAAATATTCGCAATGAATCGTGTACAATTGAAAGAACAAATTCGGTACGACCGAGAACGTTCCATCGAGGAATATGCTTGATGATTCTTCCAATATTTTCAATTGCTTTCTCGTTGAAAAAGTCAACATTCGTTTGTCTGTCAATCCTGAGTCATACTGAAGGAATGTTCTATTCGCCACTGTTTTTGTCATGTCATGTGGCATAATAATTGTATGACGTGATGCTGGCAATGCATATGGATTTTGAGCCTTTTAACGAATACGTCGAGTTGCCTTCTTCAGATTTTGCAGATTTGGCAATGATGCAACTGCTTGATTTGATAAGTGACTAACTCCATCGGCAATAATATCATATGTCGTTTTGCTCGACGTTTTTGCATCTTGACTCATTTGTGTTCGTGCAGTTATCAATTCGGCGATTTCGGCTCTTGGTTCATGATTGTGGATGCCAATTGTTTGAACGACACGATCGTTGATAGCATGCAATCGGCCTTTGCAATGTCCATGTCGTTTTCGCGCACAGGACCAAATCGTTTTATCACCTGACGATCTTTCTACGATATACGCGTAGCCATTTTCAACAAATATAGGCTTTCCTTTTGTGGTGGTCATACTGCGTCAATGGTCGATTAAGATGATGATCCACAGGATAACAAGCACACGCTATTTATAGCAGAGATAAGGTGACATATTCTTGAAAGAAAAGAGAAAAAATCGGCCGCCGTCGACAGCTATTGTCTTATTGTCTATTCACTATGCACTGCGAGAAAGTGTCCGCCACGGGCAAAAGTCCTACGCGCAACTGTCCGGCGGGCAACTGTTCAACGGGGAAGTGTGCGAATACCGAAATATTTTATCTAGCAGAGAACTTCGAGCTCTTCATGAATATGAATATCTTACACTCAGAAAGTTTAATCTTTGAAAAAAAAACTGCAATTCTAGGACCTGGGCAAGTGGATGCAGGTATCTGTGCAGACACAAACTTAAATATCCACATCTACCATTACCCACACCCTCATCCACAAACATAAAACAGTTTTCAGATAAGGAAATGTTTGTCAAAACGTATAAAATCTTTTTTCTTTCAATGTGTTTTCGTAAAAATGATGATGTTCCACTTCCCATGTAAATATTTTTTTGATCAAAACGCGTCTGAATGGCGTTTCGTTGCGTTTAAATCGCAGCAAAGAAACGCAATAAAACGCGTCTCCAGTGAAACATTTCTTGCGTCTAGACGCGGTCTCATTTTGAACTGCGTCTGCCCGCGTTGTTAGAAGTCGCGTCTAGACGCAAGAAATGTTTCACTGGAGACGCGGTTCTAAATCACATCGCAGCTAGACGCGGCTGGAGAAAATCGCGTCTAGACGCGTTCGATTCGATATTTAAAATTTTTAAAAAATATTACAATCCGTCTCAGGTTTGATCTGAGTCGCCATCGATATCCTCTAACGATAGTCTTTACCTCACCATAGGCAAACGGAATGTTTAAATGTTGATATATCTAAAATGATAGAAATGAGATTAGAACAAGTGAACTAGCGATTAAGAAGCAAGTATACGTACCGTGAAGCCACATGTGACCACAATCGTTCTCGAATGAAGTAGAAAGTATATATGAATCATGAATTTATATCTTATTTACAAATACATATATCAATAGAATGCTTTCTGTATAAATAATATTTTTATTATTAACATATATATATGTGTGTATGAAAAAGAAATCCATTAAATAAACTGTATATATATTTAAAAACTTTCCTTAAATTGCTACAAACTTTTCCTTTTGAAAAAAATATTTCTTCACATTTTTTCTATAAAATTTATTGTTTTCAATTTAAAATACTACCGATGTTTCAGAATCTATTATTTGCTTATTATATTTTATTAAATAATATGTATTTATTTTGTCTTTCTTTTTCCTTACGTAATAAAACTATCAAAAAAGATTTTCGATTATAACTTTCACATTTAAAAAAAAAAATTCATTGAGAGATTTCAAGAAACCTCAACAAAATTTGCTTCTGATTAGAAAAAAAAAACACAGTTGCGCTAAATGAAAACTTATCA